TATAAATGGATGGACAAGTAGGCATGATTCGTCCACACAAATCCACAATTTATCAGCTAGAAAGCACATACAACAAAGTTCTCAGTAAATCTATAGCCCTTTGGGGAGCAATACCCACTATAATGATTTTGGAGCGCAAAAGCCAGAGTGCACTCAGAGAACGATTGAAGCTAATAGTGTTCTAGCCAGCATTATTAGCTTTTTATGCACTTTTTTATTGCTTAGGCAGTTGTTCGGTCCAGATTGGTTCATTATACCAGAATTCTCCCAATGAAAAGATCCTTATCAAATTAAGTGCAAGAAACTATAACACAACCAACAAAGTTAATTTTTTGGTACCAGATAAATCAAACACCCTAATGTATTCAAGATTTTCTCAATTATAAACAGAGGTCCTGATATCACCTACAATAAAAAATGATGGTGTTAGAGAACACATCTCGCGAACCACACTCTTTTCCTTCCCTCCCCCCTCCCCCTCGTCCGAAAAACTTCTGAGATCACCATTTCAAATAATCTTTCAGGACTATTGCTACAGAAGAAGAACAACAGCCTCAGAAGCCCAAAACATTGGCTTTTGGCGAACGTGCATTTCAAGAAAAACAATTTCAGAACAAACCTATACAAGCAGAAGAAAACTGCGGAATAATCGTGAACGGGTCACGAGTGCTCGGAAAACGTTTCGCACGACAGTTCAAGAGTTCCCACGCATTGTTTATTCTATGAGCAACTCATCTTCACTTCGAGTAGATTCGCAAGCTCATGTGATTGTAAACCCTGGCATAGATTCTTCAGTCTTGGAAAATTTTCGTTATAGCTCGATATGTGAATGGTCACTTTGGTGAATGAAAGCCAGAACTACAAGGAGTTAGAATGGAAAAGAAAGCCCACACTGAACAACTGACGTGAACACATGATAATCACAAAGAATCTCCTTTTTGGCACAATGTAAAAATCTCAGCCATCAGACATCCCCCATCAAAGCGGAAATGCAATTTGTCAGTATGAGGAAGAAGTTATCGGTTGCAATAAATCAAAAGTAACAGTTGGGCTGAGCAGAGGTATCAACAGAAAGTCTCACAAAGTCCAAAATTCTGAAACCCATTAGTAACCCCTAACGCTTCTATCTACTAAAAGGATTGCGGGATGTGCTTGAAAGCTTTCAGCAGAAAGAAGAGCAGATGTCAGTGTCACAGCCAGTAGCTATTGGCCGTTCGCTGGATAGTCGTCTCTAAAAAAAGAAAAAAGTAAAGCTCGAATCTGCAGATCTGCACTATCACACGAAATCTTTTTCTTGAACTGGACGTCACAATGCAAATAGCGGTTACGATGACGGTTTACAAAGCAATTAGCTTCTTTCAAGCAGAATTCGTCCATGTGGGTGGCCCGCAAAAAAATCATTCAAACCTGTAGCGGATGTGATTATGCAACCAAGTACCTGAATAAAAGCGTGTGGGGGTAATTGCCTGTCACTAACAATGAGTCTGGTCAAAAAACCTATTGTGAAAACTTAAAAGCAGGACATGGCAAACAAGTCGGTACAACCATAGGACAAAAAAAGCAAAGAAAAAATAATACCAAAAAATACAAACACTAGGACATGTCCATTTGCAGTATGGGCTATGCAAATCGTGAAAATATTCGTCCAAGCAATTTTTTTTCGGTAATTATTTCGAAAGTTAAAGGAAACCATGGAAAAACACTTCTAACTTACGAAAAATTGAAGCGAATAATTTTCATGGTTTAGTCATCAACAGCAGAAGAATGAGCGATGCTTACAGCTATGCTCAATGCTTAAGGACCAGTTTAGCTGGAAAAATAAGAATGAAGGATATGTGTCAATAGGCTTTGCCTCTTGCAACTGGTACGAGCTACTATTAACATGTGTAATTTGTGGCATATGTCAGCGCGGCAAAGCCTATCGAAGACATACTCCCTTTACATAAAGACATATCATAGCGTACGCTTAGAAAACTTGTTCTAAAATAGCATAACAGATTCAAAATTCTAGAAAATCGTGACAGTGGTTGAGGCGACGAAAACAAAGCGAAATCCCACAATAATTAGAAGGTTATTCAAGTTTTGCATGAATAACCTTGAAATGTTACCTACGGTTGAATAAGCCGTACTTTGAATGATCCACAAAGAAAAAGCATGCGAAGAAAATTCTGCGGGATTGTCTTCCATAGTTTACACAAAGAACTACAAAACTGTCGGGAAAGCAAAAATCATTACACCACGTGTATTATATTACATCTAGATGCATGGCTCTCTTGTAGGAGGAAAAGTTGAATGCAAAAAAAAAAAACGTTTCAGTCAAAACTCGCGTACCAGATGCGGCCCTTCCCAGAACGATCGACTACGAAAATCCGCGATTTTAGTAACTCCAAGTTAAAACAGTCCGTTTTGAACATGCAGATAAACTGTCATGGATAAGAAAGCTAGCAGGCTTGCCGTAGGATATCGTATTAAGGTGCCCAGGGCTCAGCAAACAACTAATGCACGAACCGTCTGAGAAATCTAGGGCCCCCATGCCAAATGCCTATGTTTGGAATGCTGCACAACTCACCATAAACCGTCAGCGGATTCAACTCTTCATCGGCAAACGCAATTTTCGCAGCCATAGATTAAACCCGACATTTTTGAACGAAAACAAGATAATGTCGTAAAGTGGCTCGGGCATGGCTCCACAAGGCCAAAGAAAAAGACAATGAGATGAAGTGCGACTACCTCAGGAGATTGCCTCAAGCATTTTTCAAACACTGGTTGCAAAATGTAATAACACATTTCTCGATGATTTACGCCTAAATTTTTGTTCAGAAATGACAATAAGACGTGGTAAGCCAGGGTGGATGGAAGTTTAGCAAACGGCTGGCACTACACATTGATCCCGTTTGGGGGAGAAAAAAGCAGGCGGGGGCGAAAAAAGGTGCGCATGAATGCTGCACCAGGCAGTAGGGCAGCATTTCAGCAGCGCATTTCCTGGCAGCTGTGATGTGCAAAGGAAAGAGAGCAGAAAAGAAAATCAATCAGAAGGATTGGGGTGTAAAGGTATCGGGAAAGATTGGGTGGCTAAGCGAATATAAAGTACATCCAAAAAGTTTTCCTGAGACTGGTAAACACCTTACCCACTTGAAACAAAAAACAACATCAACTTCAACTTCTGGCACTTCCGCAACAACGAGTGATACTCTAGAAAATTCTGGAATGTAAGCAACGGGGAACACGAACGTGTGCTCATGACGAAGACAGCAGTTGGTTCTGAGTCGAAGTCGATTGTGAGGCAGAGCAAAGAAAGCCCACACAGACCCATGAGAACTACGTGCCATTCGTTGCATCTGTGTCGATGTCGACGACTCGATGGGTTTACAACTAAAGGCGATCCTCCCTCGCTCTCCAAAATGCTTCCAAAAAAGCGTTCCAGAAAAATGCTGCGATGTAAAAACAATAAAAATCAATGCGAGTTATGAACAGTAGATAAACAGACACTGGTACTTGTAAACAGAATGACTCTTTAGATTTGTGCGATAAATGCAGATTCTCAGATGAATGTTCACTGAAAAGTGAGCAAAAAAAGCTCTTGAATCAAAATTGAGATCAAAACATAAAAATAAAGGACTTTTGTTCGAGCTAGCTTGAGAATGGCAGACATATAGGGGGGAAGACGACCGAAAGAGCGTGGGCGATTCTATCAGAGATTACAATGCCTACACGGCTGCAGGAGTCCAGATTTGCGTAACATTTGAGCTGAAGATAAAAAGTCCGAGCTAAAGTCTGCTGTAACTGAGTTACTTCTGCCACAAAACGAAGATGTAGCCGTGTTATACACAAGTGTAATCTTACGTCTTGACCATATAGCTCCATATTTGCTTGCTCAAAAAAAAACCATGGAATGTCAAGCATTAGGCCACGGGCATAGTTTACGCGATTTCATCGCCTCGCGATTCTCCCAAAAAGACAGCTGTTACGAGTCCAGTGCTTGCCGATTCTCCTGCAGTTCGATTCTGATAGTTTTCCGAAAAGAGACTAATCGCCGAAATGCAAGATGAACGACATGAAATGGACTCGTAACAGTTCTCTTGATGGTAGAATCGCGATGCAATGAAATCGCGTGAACTGTGCCCGAGGCCAATAGACGATCATTTCGCGCATCTGAAGAACTAACAGAAAATTCAGCTTTTAAAGGCAGCGTCCAGGCAGATCTGGACCCATGGGACTTTTACGTGGAAAGTACTTTTGGGGCCCTAACTAAGGCACTGCCCAAGCGGCAGTTCAGGTAGTGCTGTAATGGCTGAGATGTTCCCCTCGAAACTGGACCCCGCGACCGTGTTTCGCATGGATTCATGGCGCAAAGCGTGGATCCTGGCGCGAAACTGCCATGAATCCATGCGAATACGTTCGCGGGGGCCAGTTTCGAGGGGAATATCTCAACCATTAAAGCACTACCTGAGCTGCCGCTTGGGCAGTGCCTTAGTTAGGACCCCAAAAGTACTTTCCACGTAAAAGCCCCATAGGTCCAGATCTGCCTGGACGCTGCCTTTAAATTGCCACTCAAGAAAATGAATAAAACGGCGAACCTCGCAGTGGCAGGTAACCATTTTGTTTGATGATAGGAAGGAATACGAAAGAGCAAAATTATGCACCACAAGGGAATAAACGAGATGCGATAATTCTTCGAAATAATGTGGCAGCATAGAAAACAGCGACAGCCGTGTTGCTCGACATAATTACGGAAGCACAGCTATGCAGCAAATGGTGTGAGAAACCAACCAGTTGGATCGTTTGATATTGATGATGTTCTTCAGAAGGAAGATGCGGTTTTACGACCAAAAATGATTTGAAAAGAAAAGGAACAGGATTTTCAATACGGAATAAGCTAGGATTCAAACTGTTTAAAACGTCTAACTCTGAAAACATAACACCGCAAATCTTTAGGTTATGAAATGCATGATACTATTCGGATCACACACAAAGCTAAAACGAAGATAGATAGATCTAACCTCAGTTTCCCAGTTTCCATTCGAATACAACTGAGAAGAGCCACACATTCGAATCTATAAACAACGAGCACTCTGCGAAGTTTAGTGAAAGAAAAGTCGGCCGCGCCGTTCAGCACAAGCCTCTGTTTTTGATGTGGTTAGAAAAAATTACAAGTGAGCATTACAAAACGCTCAAAGGCTACAAAACCCAGACTTCCCGCATTATTCGCGTATCTTTACCGACAACAAAACACAACAAAGCTGCGACTTCTGATAAAAAAATAAACATCGCATTTTTAAGAATTCAGAAATTCGCTCTCACACTGCTATGCCTGCAAACGTATTTCCACTTTTGCATTTTTGGAATAGTTATTTACCATGACTATGCAAAAACTTCTAATCAAATAAATTCCCTTCATGTTCTGCTTCCTTTTCCTTTCAAAAAAGAAATCAGCTCGAGCTGAATCTCTCCCAGCGTATATACAGTCGATTAGTTTTTCCGCTCAATATATAGTGTGCTTGCGGTGCTGAGAAATGCGGTAGAATATGAGCGTGAATAAGTAACACGCCTGTACCCGGCATTTTGCTCGCGCAAGTGGCCGGCACTACAGGCGTAGTTACTTGTTCATGAGCAAATTTTATTGCATTTTCTCGGCACCGCAAGCAGCGGAAAATCTACTCGAATGTGACAATACCTCCAAATACCGTACGTCAAAGCACTAATTGATTGCGATGCAATGCCAAAAAACTCTTAATTCAAGTGTACCGATTATTACAAACCTACTCCTGTGCTCGAAAGACATCTAGATTCAACAATTTCTATGTGCACGCAATGCAGGAGTGAAAATGCTCATGCCATACCGTCGTAAGCATACGAATTATTCATATGACGTGAAGAAGATACATGGTGAGACATGGGCTTCACTCGATAAGCCGTTATGCAAGCGCGCAACACGCCTCCTTTTGTTTATTTTACAAAAAAGATATAAAATTTCGAAAATGCGCTTATATCACAGACAGATGATAACAATCAAAGCATACAACACTTCCCAACAATATTATACTAGACATTTTATGGCAATCATACAATATCATTCAGTCCAAAGTGGCAATCACAAGCAGAGTCTAAGAGCAAAATGATCTATAGGATAGTCAGAATAATGCAACATCCGAAGAATTCCTAGCAAAGCACGCAAAACACCAGCCGAATTCGCTTCTAGCGCCTCGTCAATGCATATAAATATTCGACATCGCCTGTGCGCACGTTTATAGATGGCCGTCTGAGAGCAGCCGAATCTCTGATGAGGCGGAAAACGTGACTTTCAATAGCAAATTCTCTCAAACCATAACAAGATGCTGCATCCCTGATGATGATGACTAATTCGAAGGACAAGGATGGGAGACAGTGAATCGGAAATGATACCAGAACCTGAAAAATTCACCATTGGTGCATTCAGAAAATAAAATATAGATATGAAAACTATATATGAGAGCTGATATGACAACAACAAGAAAAAAAATCCTATTTATCGAATATGACATTAAGAATAGATGGACTATTACTTGCGGTAAGTCTCAGGAAAGATCTCAACCGATGAAGGGCATTTCATTCAAAATACTGTGCACAGTCCATCACTTGAAAAAGTGATGAAATAACTAACAATAAGCACCAAAAAATGCAGAATCGCTTTTCAAACCGCCTCTAAATCGAGTACGATGGCGAAATATCTTAGTTCGATGTCACAATGTTTTCTTAAATCATGCAGAAAAAAAAGATTAAAAAAGAATGGGAAAAGGAGCTTTGTAAATATTACAAACTAACCTGACTTATGTCTTTGCAGTAATAAGTCCTTTCTCAACCAGATCTGGAATCTCTACAGCTAACCATGGACCTAATCCTAGTGAGAAAGCATGTGCAATGCCAAACTTCGGCACGTTTCTTGCCCACAATGGTTTGAAGTGATCCGAAAGACATATCTTTCCTCCTCGGTACATCTGAACAAATTTAGTATTTTGGCTATACACTTACTTTCTTGAATACTAAATGAGCTTTGGTAATATGATAGCGGACGAGACCTAGATGTAGCAGACAGCAGCTAAGCTAGTATGTGCAGGATAGCAAAACTCGGAATATATCATCGCCGGCTTCCAAATTCGTGTGGAGGCGGGTTGCGGGCTTTGCCTAATCATAGGGATAAACTTATTAAAATTCCACGTTACAGCAACGTTTTTCGTACTCTCTCCTTATAATAATCAGGGAAAGTCCGCAACACTGCTCCACACGATCTGCGAGCCGATCATAAGCACCGGAGTTCAGAGAACAGTATTTGAACATGTCAGAAAAAAATTTCGAGAGGATAATGTTTTCCGCAAGTAGTGATATTGTGCGCAACACTTGATATATTGCACGTAGCTCGTAAAGAGTTAGAGTACGAGTAAGAATACCTTTGCTGTCTTTCCATCTAGCTCTGGCAGTGCTATTTCAGGTGCAGTCACAGGATAAGTGATAGGAATGTCAAATTCAACGTCAAATTCATACCTAAACTTCATTTGAATATGTATAATATGAGATGACAGATCAAGCAATAGGGAAAATTCAGCTTAAAAGACACTCACTTTACCATGTTGTGATAATGCCAGCATTTCCCAAACCATTTCGTGCCATCCGCATTCGATTCCAGTCTAAACCAGTCCGAATCAGATTCTTTGTTGTTCTGTACGAATTTTATAATCGCTTGGTATTCTTCCTGCAAAGGCCTTCGATAAGTTGTGAGATGAAATTAGCGTCCTCTAGGAAAAAGGAAGAAACTGGAAAAGAATCCTCGAGTTAAAAACGAACCTTCAACCGTTCTATCCACAAATCCCCATCTCGTGGCCCGGCTTTGGTTTTACATAATGGAATCGCCTTTAAACGTGTCTTGGTAGCGTCATCCATTATTTATCTGGAAAAGCACAGGCTTATATAAATTATAGAAAATGAAAGCACAAAAAATCAAAGCAGCAGACTGAATCGGACAGGAAACTAACAGCTAAAAAACAGGATTTTGATGCCGAAACTGGAAACGTGTGCAAGAACGCTCAGTGCGTCTTTTGCGACCTACAGTACGCAAAGTGCGCCAAAATTTGGTTCATTCGTTGTTCATCCGAAAATTTGGTTCATCCTGCCTCCATTTAAAAATTCGGAGTCTTCCTACTGTGCTTTTTTTGAATCTACGTCCGGCTTTCATGAGTAACAAGGAAGTCTCACCATGGCAACGGTTGGTTGTGCTTTCAACTTTGCTAGTCTCGAAAATATCCAGATTTTTAGGATCGCTATGTAGATGATATGTTTGGTGTTGGCAATTTTGATGATGAGGAAGACGTTGGAGATAAGCAAGAGGAGCCCGATGCTAGGCCAGCGCCTGCAAATGATACGCTTGTGGAGCAGATTGAGAAATCAGCAAATGAAAGCGAAGATATTTTACGAATTCTGGTTGCTAGTGACATTCATGTCGGATACGGAGAGAACAAGCCAAATCTGTAAGTTTACTTTACAATTATTTGTTCATTTTGAACACTAAACCTCGTTTTGAATGTTATTCGAAGAACCATTGCACTTGCGGTTCACATGGTTCCCTTGCGGTTATCACAGCACTTACGCGCGAACAAATTGTTACGTTGCCACGCCTGCGATGCCACCAATTTGCGCTTGTAAGGCAAACATAAACAACAACATAAACACAAACATAAAGCTTACACTTTTAGAGTTCACTTCTTCATTTTTTTGCATCCGTGGTCCTGTGTCTACAGTATTGTCGGCAGCGCAGATGCACTATATGAGCCATTAAATCTTTTAGTCTATAGTAGTCGATTCGCATCGCAAGCAGCAAACAAAGTTGGGCGTGAGACGATTAATCACGCTTAGTTCAGTGTCGCTCTTTGGCACATACTAAATCTATACAATCTATACAATGCAGTACATGCTGCGCGCGATTCGCGCCGCGTCTACGGACCTAGTTTGTGCGTAATCTGCGGGGCAGACTTGGCGATACCTGACTGCTGAAATACTTAAGGTGGTTTGTAGATATCGGTTGATATATGACCTTTGCTACGTAGTTTGGAGAGAGATAACTTTTTTGTGGTAAGTTGTAACGTTTGCCCCTTCAGCTATCTGGATTCTGTAAACACATTCGAGGAGGTGTTGAAGATTGCTGTGGAGAAGAAAGTTGACATGATACTTCTCGGTAAGTCTCTAGTCTTTCTTGTTCTTGAAACTTATGTTCCTTGTGTTCTCTTCAGGTGGTGATCTTTTCCACGAGAACAATCCATCTCGTGATATGCAGCATCGCGTCATCCAGTTGCTTCGTCAATATTGTCTCAATGATAAAGAGGTAACACTACGTGTGTTTATGTTCTCGAAAATTTCAAGCTTATCAAACTTTTTTCTTCTTCGCAGCCACAGTAACACGTAAGCCTTAGCGTAAGGAACTATTTTTTTCTTTTTCCAGGTAGCTCTGGAGTTCGTATCGGACGCGACCGTGAATTTTGACCACAGTCATTTCGACAGGGTCAACTATGAGGTTGACGTTGCTACGCAAATGTCTTTTCGATAATTGTCTTCTTTATATTTGAGGACGCGAATATCAACGTGGGTTTGCCGATCTTTTCCATACATGGTAACCACGACGATACTGCTGGAAAGGTATTCCCCTGCTGTTGTTGTACTTACCAGTGATATTACGATTTCTGCTATAGGGTCTAACAATTCTCGACGTCTTGCATGAAGCCGGTTTGGTCAACCTTTTTGGCAAGTTTGCCGACATTGATCAATTTGATGTAGGTTCAAAGTAGACTTCTTGGCGCAGTGCAGTTGTACATAGTTTGACATACCTTACTGGACAGGGCACATACTCATTTCCCGAGAATCCTGTAATTCTGCTAGTATTGCTCTCATTTTGGCATTCCTTGTATACCACGTTTTCGTTTCGACCTTACCACCATAAAACCCTGAAAGTGATATTGCAAGAAAAAATTGCGAGATGAATGCTACCTTAGTGTCTCCCTTGATCGCCGCAGGGCGTGTAGATGTGCACGGCATGGTGCAGGTGTGAGTTGAAGTAGCATGCATCGCTTACACAGTGTTGACCTTGAGGTCAGTCCAATCCTGCTTCGGAAGGGCTCGACTCGGGTCGCGCTTTTCGGTATTGGAAGTCAAAGGGATGACAGACTGTGTAGAGCTTTCGCAGGTATGTAGTTTATTGGAATCTACCAAAAGACAAATTTCGACTATACAGGGCACACCATAAAGTTCCTGCGGCCGCGTGCAGGTTACGATGACTGGTTTAATATTCTTGTTTTGCATCAGAATCGTCCTAAGAGGTGAGCAGTTTGTTGTACCAATAAGTCTATTTGCTTTTGTGTCCGAAGAATCATCAATGCAGATCTACGCATCGATCTACGGGTGCTTATCTGCCAGAACAATATATTCCAACCTTCTTTGATCTTGTGTTATGGGGACATGAACATGAGAGCAAGCCGCGTAAGTCGTACAGTAGGATCCCTTTTGTCATTCTACTTTGCGGATGCACTCTACTATTCGAAAGCACTCGTTGAGATTTGGTTTGGCTTCGGTTCAGATTGCCAATACGTCGCATCATCTGATGCAATGGGTGACGGATTCTATATACTGCAACCTGGTTCCACCGTAGCAACATCGCTGACGAAAGAAGAAGCATTGCAAAAGAATGTATTTCTGATCAAAGTTAGTTACCTGAAAGATTTTTTGTTTGACGTATATTCAAGTTTGTGAATCCGGTCAGCTCAAATCTACGTTGTTGCTTTTATAGAGCTCTCTAGAAATATGATGCTTCAGCGAAGGTTTTTGATTTGCCGATCAGAACGGATTATTCAGGTCAAAGGACGGAAGTTTCAATGCAAACCCATTCCCCTACAGACTACCCGTCCCATGCTGGTCGATGAGATCATTCTTGATACCTTACCGGACGGTGTGAGGTTACCAGCCAATGGTATAAGACCCGCTGGAGGAGGTTTTGTTTTGGTACGTACATTCCGTCAACTAATCTTTGAATAAACCCATACATTTAGGACGAAATGATAGTCAATGAGAAAATAGAGGAGATGATTCGGGTAGCAGGGGAAAGTCGCGGACCGCAACAACCTAAACTTCCTCTCCTACGCTTAAAAGTCACTTATGCTGGAAAATGGGCCCAAATGCAGGTTTGAGCCATCATATCCGTTTTCAGTTTTCAAAATGATGATGATTGTAGCCTGTCAATGGCCGCCATATTGGGGCAAAATATCAAGATCGCGTAGCAAATGCAGCTGAAATGATTGTGACGAGAAGGGTCAGTTTGTTTTTCGAACAAATTCCGAAAAAAATGTTATAGTTTCAGGTCACCGAAAGGAGGAAAGGGCATGGAGGTGCGAGTATTGAGGAAGATGCGTTAAATGCTGCTGTGGATGCTGCTTGCCTTGATCAAGTGGTAAGTCATTGGCGGCTATGAGTTTCTACCTAATTACACCTAACTGGTGTAAAACGATTTCTGAAAATCTTGCTATCACGATGGCTTTGAAGCTGTTCACTGCGTGGCATCTACGATTTGAAGTTGTGAACAACCAAGCTGGAAGTGGGCTATCTTAACCTTGCTAAATTTGTCACTCTACTTGGCGGGGGCCTCCAGTGGCGCTTATTAGTTAGAAGTCGTTTGTCTACCGATGAAGACAGCCTGCACAGCACTCTTGTGAAAGATTCTTCGAGAGTATCCACAGCAAAGATTTTAGTTCAGTTCAGGTTACGAGAATGGATTTACACCAACTTGCATTTGACTTATCTGCAGTTTGAATACTTTTGGGACTGGTGAAGCTTAACACTTTTTTGACAGAGCATCAGGGCTTATGAAGATACCGTATAGTGTCAGTTGTACTGCACCAGCTATCGATGAGGATCACACTTATTAGGCTGCGCCTAGAGTTGCCCGAGTGCAGGCGCATTGCTCACGAGGGAATGGTCAGAACTTGATCCAGCCATTTCCAACGAGGTGTATATCATCAAACTCGCCTTGAAACGCTAAGTTCAGATTATATGTTCGTTATCTGACGAACGACACCTCTGAGGGGTTATGAGCATTTGAATATGAAAAAATTATCCGAGTCCCAACAATTATGGTGCAGCCTGAGGGGGCGTAATTACAGTATTATCTGTAATTCAATATCAAGGGAAAAGCACATTTACCAAAGACTAAATAAGTGTTCTTAACGCTTTGACTACCGTGTGCATACACGCATGCACGCCCTGACTTCCGTTTAGCTCATGCATCACTTTTCCGTGGGTAAATGAAAATGTTCATAGTAAGTTCTATGCAATAATAATATTGGCGGCACGATTATCATATATGACACAGGGCATCACGGTAGCCGTTTAGGAGTCTAAATCGCAGGCTGACAGCCATTTTGATGTGGTCTAAAATGGCTTGGTCGTCAACGTAAGACGAATACGTGAAATAGGCGCTACAGAAAGCTTGACAATTCTGCACATTCAAGCGCGCATAACTCCTTCCTCATACGTTCGGCAAATATTAGGTTATCTCTTAAGTTCTTTCAAGTTTGATTTTCTACCGCAGTAATTCACAAAAATCACGATTCGAATTAGAATGCAGGACGTTCGATAGGGCAAAGCAAGCTCGATAAGATGGCATGTATGTGCTCACAACAGCTTCAGCACATCACGAATTGGCAACCAAATTCTGAGAACTTCCGGATGCCCAAAAAATTGAAAATTTTTTATATCTTTGTTCATAGAGGACTTGCCAAATTCTAAACGCGCTCACGCAATACACTCCACATAAAACATTCATATATGCCGTCGCTGTGTTTGTATCTGTGCTAGAAACCAAGAAAACTGAATTTTCAGACTTTTAAAAAGAGATCCCGCACTGATCTCACATAGATAGTTGCACACTACAAGCATTCAGAAACACATCGGTATATTTTCAGCTTCCTGGAAACGCTAGTTCTCAAGAAATATCGAATTTAGCTCATTTTGCAGAGGTATTTTATGTTGCATTCGGTATTTCTCGGGAACTAGCACTTCCAAGAAGCTGAAAATTTACCGATGTATTTCTGAATGCTTGTAGTTTACAAGTATCTATGTGAGATCAATGCGGGATCTCTTTTTTGAAAGTCTGAAAAATTCAGTTTTCTTGGTTTCTAGCACGGAAACAAACACATCAACAGCATATATGAATGTCTTATGTGGAGTGTATATGCGTGAGCGCGTTTAGGATCTGGCAAGTCTTCTTTGAACAAGGATATAAATTTTTTAAAATCTTTCGGGCATCTAAAAGTTCTCAGAATTTGGTTTCTATTTCGTGATCTGCTAAGCTGGTGTGAGCACGTACATGCCATCTTATAGAGTTGCTTTGCTCTATCGAACGGTACCCTGCATTCCAATCAGAACTGAGAAGTTTGTGACTTATTGCGGTAGAAAGTCAAAACTGAAAAAAACTTTTGAGACAACCTACTATTAAACATAAATGTGAGATCAGCGCTTGGAGGCGTCCCGATTTGAATAGCTTGGAACGGGTTGAATTTGAATTAACCTATTCGCTTGTCAGCACAGTACGCACGGACGCAGCGGTGCCACTGCGCGTCGCTTGCGGCCGCATACGCTCTGTCCTATCCGCATCACATGCGGCATTGCGTCATGTGCGCGTCCTTCTCCTCGAGATCGATAGTGAGCTTTATCCATCTGAGCCAGTGGATGAAGTTCAGACTCAAGAAGAAGCTGGATTTCTTGAGAATTATCCATATGGTGGACCTGAATAGTTTAGAGTTTTATGGAAGTCTGCCGGGAGTGCCATTCTATCCCTCGTGTTCCAAACACCCCTTCTCTTCTCAACCTCGTCCACAAGAAAGTCTTTGAATGTCGAAATTGTACGATTCTATCAGCGTTGGACAACAGAGAAGTGAACCCATTTTCCTGGGCCGCCAATAATGACGACTAGCGATCACCAATATCAATAGTAATAGGCCAACGATATGTGGCTCTTCAATCGGCAATGCTGGCGACCGGGTTCTTATTTCTCAAAAGAGTGTTGAGCAGCTTAAGCCGCTCATAAGCTCATTTGGGAATTCTTAAATGAATGTAAAACAGCTAGCAGTTAAGTGGTATTTTCTAGATATCCGAGTACTTTGATAAGCAACCGTGGGAAGAACGTCTTACTGTATTCACGCATTCGACAATTGGTAAAGCATTGACCGCATTCGACGAGGACGACAAAGTTACTGCGACGAAAGCAAACAAAGATTTTAGAGCGGCGTTGGAGGTGTGTTCGCACTTCTTGAGAATTTATAGCGGGAGTGGGACTCCTAACCTAAAACTGAGTCTGTCTGCATTTTTAGACCGCTCGCGATTCGATGAGATCGAAACTGAAACAAATGCCTGGACCAGAAATAGAATTTGATGTAAGATCGCGTGATACCGTTTTTTTCCCAGCTAAAATTCGTTATTTAGAAGTATGGAAATTTGAAAGCGGACGACTTTGAAATGGTTGTCAGAGGTGATCTGAACATGTTGAAAAGGCAAACGTATGGATTACAAAACACTAAACGCAAAGATCAAAGCATGGATACTGATGCTTAGCTTAGCAGTTTCCTTTCTTCAATGTATCGAATGTAATTATTGGACGTTCAGATCATGTAGTGTTCCTCCATCTGCCCAAGCAATGTCGAAACTAAACAAACCGCTCTACTTGTCCCATCATGAACCTCATTAGTGGCAAAAGACTTTTTTTTTCTAATAAGATCTCAATTCTCTAGAGGGTGTCATCGCCTAGAAATTCCATCAGACTCGCATCCACATTTTTTTCTCGCTAATATATACTGCTGAAATTTTCAGGTATTTTTCTACTGGTATTCTCCCAGTGACTCAATCTAGTTGTATCTGTACGCATCATTTACTGAATTGTTGTTTATTTCACGATATACAAATCTGTCAGATATTAAAGATGACAAATACTCAAAGAACAAATTGCACATTGGAAGAAAACTGCACACAACTGTATGGAAGATATACTAAGCTAAAATCTAGCGATAACGCGAACCTGTACTTGCTGGATATAAATCTGATTTTTCAGTTTGGAAGAGGAGAACCGGAACTTTTTAGATTGACGCTTTGATATACAAACGACAATCAAGCGATGGACGCTATTACAGAAAACATATCAATGAGTGCAATCATTAGTGGTGCACAAACCAAGAGATCAGAAACATGGCGTCACAAAATTAAGTTGAATTGGATGATTCCACATTTATGGGTTTTGGTTAACAATTGCCCTTAGGGCGTAAGAGCGGTTCCGACTGCTCAGATACGGTTAGTTTAGGATGGATCCTAAGAGTCACTTGCTTGACAACTGAGATAATACTCTTACCAGTTCACGTATGGCCACGATCGTGTGTTGAAGCACATAGATATGTGGTTAACATATATAAATTAGTAGTGGAGAAAGTTTTTTTTGTTAAAATGTGCGAAGAATTCATCCGCCAACTATAGCACTGCCTTATTTTTTTCTGTGAAAACGCTAATGTTTGTGTTCTGACCTAAGATACAAGAAAAGTTAGTTTTCCCTGGAAAAAGGAAAGAAAATGCAAAAAATGATGCGACATAGGTCAAACTGGGGGAAGTTTGGTCCAGAAATGCTATGGAAGATATGCAAAGGGACAAAGTGATATGCATAGTGATAATGCAAGATCATCGCGAACAAATATTGTAAAGAAGTACACACTCTAAACATCCACAAACGGTAGAGCACAATTGTCCTATGACGGTAGCTCAAAAGGAAATTTTTTCATTGCAAAACACTGATCTCCACAAAAGCGCGCAATTCAGAAGTTCTCGTGATTGAGATAGACAACGAAAATTCCAAACAATCTTTACAGTTGTTCATTTGAATATGGCAAACAAAAATGAAGGTTCTAAAAGGCGTCTCTGTAAATGGGCGCATGAGATTTGCGATTGCACGAATTTCCATAGTTGCACGATTAGGCTGTGTTCAGAGTTGCTCGCCCCAGGCCGTGCCAGGGTCATGCAGCGCTGTGTCGGAAAGTCGTCGATCAATTTGGAGTACGTGCACGTTTGTTCCAGCGCGGCATTGGCGCACCAGCACCGCTCCGGCAGACGGGCAACTCTGGGACGCTCTTCATGTCTGGACGGCTGTGATTGCAGCGGGCCCTGACAGAGGTACGCCGATGATGAAAACGATTCAAAGATATAACCGGAGTTGATTGATTTTACGAACTACGGGGTAACATTACCCTAGAATTAAAACTAAGTGGGCCCGATATTTCTTTGCCTGCCTTGATAGTTGCACATTGAGAAATTATGCAGTGATGAGAAAAAAGCTTGTAAACAGGAAGGACTGAAAAGCAAGAACGACATACAAACCTCATATACACATAGTATACACTGAGTTAACAACGAAAATTGGACGTCAGTCATGACATCATACAATCTCGTGAATGGCACCAAGTAATGAATATAATCCGATCAAGAGTTGACATCACCATTTGACCGTCAATAGGCATGAGTAAGTGGTGCGAAATGTGAACTGCCCTGAGGAAGTAGAAGCTGTGGTTGGACGGGATCTGTACTTCGTAGTGGGGCTCTCGGAACCTATAAGCAGCATCAGTTTGTTGCAAACCTGTGACTGCCAGGAGGGAGATTAAATCATATATGCTTCTTCTCGTATACAAATACACTATACATTTTATGGATACTGTGTATAACTACAGTCTTTGTCAGACAAACGCACTCTTATCCATCAGCGCAGTCGTCACGCAAACGCTTCGCCCCCGTGGTGCGCGTATGGACTGGGCATTCAAATTAGCCTCACCGATGGGACTGCCTTTAGCTCATACCCTCGATACATAGAGCCACGTACTCTGGTAACCTTCACTTTGAGGGCTATGAGGGGTCACAACCTTCACCTGGAAAAAACAGAAGTCATCCGCGGCTTCGCCCCGGATGTTATTATCCTGATTATATCGGAACGAATGTTAATGAAGCAATTATAGGGAATAAAATCTTTAGCTTATCTCAGCGAAACCGAGAATTTGCGTTTTCATAGCCTTTCTTACCTTAAAAAAAAGGTTTTCGTGGGATTTTCGCCAGAATTCAGAACAAAATTTCTTAGTTAAACAAAATCGAGTTTCAGAAGTTCAGGAAAGCTATTGGAATTAAATAAGAACGAGAAACTGCGCTTAAGTCTTGCGCAGAGACTCGCGCACGAAAACGCTGGTTTATCTCGTTAATGAGTGACTTTTGAAGCTTGGGACGTTGTCAGTTCTCCTCGTCGTGTCATGGCGATCAGAATGATATATAATGTTGCGGGGTTTCATTGAGACCCCGTGGAGATCTATGACCAGAGCCAAATGCCCCGTCGGCTCTGGTCTGTCTCCGCTGCTCGTCTGCGTCTCCGCGCGCTGCGCGCTACCTCGCTACCCCAAACGCGGGGCGCGGGGCATTTGCTCTGGTACCCTTTTCTTCGCTGTTTCGAACCCAATTTTAGCAAGCTATATATCATTTTGAAGCTCTTGGTCTCTATTTTCACGCTGACAACGTCCCAAAACCACATTTTTTGATTTGATCGAGAAATCCGGCAAAAACCTTGCTTTTGAAAATCTCTTGTTTTTCTTCTAGTTTAACTCTTTTCATGCGGTTTTTTCATGCATTCTATAGATCTTGCTTCTGTTCATAATGCAGACAACCACCCAGCCCTTATCTCTTGGATTATGGTGGAATTTTTTGCGAAAAATCGTAAAAAGTGCGTTTTTCTTTACCTTGTTCAATTTCAGTGCTTTCGCATCGATTTTCTTCCAGCTTGGGCGATTGTTGCTCAGAACAATAAGCGCAACAATCCAGACAACGTCCCAGGAAACAGGAGCGTCAATGCGGGGGAAAAATTTAAAGGACGCATCAAAAATCAAAATCCCGTGTTGCGAATTGCTGGTCTTGGAGCGAAAACTTGCACTCTGCAAAGCCGCCAAATGAGAGATTTTAAACCTTATTGCAGCGTTTTTATCCGGTTTACAGCAGTTTCTTTTGCTTTTTATATCTGTTTTACGTCATTTTCTCTTCTCTGATCTTCTTCAAACAACCTTCACTATTTATGACGTCAGGTGTTCAAACAACCTTCACTTTTGACGCCGTGTCTCTAGACTATCGAAGTATGTTTTAGCTTATAATTGAATTTAGAATTACAGCGAATCACACTCTTCGGTTAGGATTACGGTAGATTTGAAATAGTTACCGCACGCATTCCCATTGAGAACCGAATAAAAAAGTGTTGAAAAGTAGTTTTTTCGTTGAGGGAAAAAAGTCCTTCGTTTCAAGTACGTGACTGCCTCCTTCGTAGCAGAAAATCGCTTATAATTAGCGAGATATTGCCTTGCAAACAGCAAGAAAGGTAAATGAAATAAAGTTTATGATACGTTCAAAAGTCTACCATCGATTCCAGGAAAAATTTCAAGGCTTTGTCGTCCATATGTAGGACCTTTATGAAATAATGGCGAAAAATTTGACTGCGGTCCTCTACCCCTCCAGACTTACAACAACATAAAACATTTAGAAAAAAGGTAGTGTGGTGCTTAACTTGGCAAAAGTTATCATATAATATTGCAGCACATATCATCATATTGTAACACAAAACTAAACTGGAGATGAAAGCAAAAAAAAAAATGCGATTGCCGAAGGTGCGTACACAATGCCCGACCGCCGCTATTTTTACGACTTTGTAATGCTCTATATCTATAGGCAATTCGTAGCATGCAAAGACTGCGGACCAGTGGCGTACCGAGGAGGAGGAGAAGAAATTCTTTCAAAAATTTCGGGACCCATTCTCGGGGAAGGGGCGCGCCTCCCCCCCCCCCCCCGAGAATGGGTCCCAAAATTTTTGAAAATTACTTATATGGGTTATAAAAATGTGCAAATGACTTGTTTATACTTGTATAAAATTTTTTAAAAATTCAAATTAGACTTATAAAAAATTTTTTTTCGGGGGACGTGCCCGCCACGCCCCCTTTTTCTGAGATTTTGGGGTTATGGGCCCGCGAAAATTTTGAGAAGCCTACAAAAATTTTTTCTGGGTGCGTGGCTGACGCCACGCACCTATTAGAAAATTTTTTTTGTCGTCCCCCCCCCGAACGGAAATCCTGCGTACGCCACTGCTGCGGACATATCGGGGTCTCTCTGATCAAGCGTTCTTTCGTTTTACTTACCATCTGCTGTCTCTTCCATGCACGAACTATCTTGATCGGACGCAACGGCGCCCAGTCTTTGCGTGTCATGAATTGCCTACACCTGGCCAGATCCCCTGCCGTCTGGCTTTCTGTTCGTGTCCCCGCTCCGTAGGCGGGGTTAGCGATCGCCCCGTGGAAATCAAGAGCATGGCCTAGATCTGCTTTTGTAAGGGAAATTATCACTTCACCAACTAGAAGAGGAAGAAACCGCGAAGCGCTGCAGTTCATATCAAATACCTGTTTCGTTTGAAGGAACCGAAGTTTAGGAAGAAGGACGTGCGACAGATTGGTGATGGAACCCTCATCATTTATGGTGAGAAGGTTCCATCACGACACGTTGGAGGGTTGGCTTTGTCTTCCACCTATCTATCGTTAATCTTGTGGATTCGCATGAGATCTTATCACCTCGACTAGCCATCCTACGACTACCATCTCCACGTCAGAAGACCATCAGCATCATTACCTGCTACTCGCCAAATCAGCAAATAGCGAATCAGAACTAGATGCATTCTACGAAGAGTAGAGGATGTCGCCCGCAATGAGAAGTTCTTTGTCGCGGCTCCGCGATGCGAGCGCTCCTAGAAGTAGGAGGTCAGGAGCCTGGTTGCTGCCGCGCTATCCGTCGACGATCACGGTACTTTCTCAGCTTCCGCGATCGCCTCCGGACCTCTCCTCGCCTTGGCGCGCTGCCAGCCAAAAGGCTTTATATAGTGGCGGCGCCTCACTTCGGTGCCTGTCTGTTTCGTTTTCAATCGATAATCTTTTCTCTATTTTCTATTGTGCTCGTGCCTGGCAGTTTAGTTCCCGTTTTTTGAACTTTCGCAGTAGCGGTTGAGCATATTGGAATTCAGGATATCGTTGATTCGCTTTCGCTAGAGTAGACGGGGCCTTTGCGGACTGCCGCCGGCGTCGCAGTCTTAGCGCTGGGGCAAAATCGATAACCGATAAATCGATAGGATCGCGACGCCGGCGACAGTCCGCAAAGGCCCTGCCTACTCTAGCGAAAGCGAACTGACGATATCTAGATCTTACAACTTTGGGAGCGGTTGTCGGCCTGTTATTCGGCGACGCGTGGCGGATCTGTTTGGGTGAAGTACGGGAGCATTATGTTATGTAGATGTTATGTACGCGCACCTTCGGTAGCACGGAATGGGGCACCCTGTCCCGTGTTGGGGCTTCTCTTTCACTTTAGTAGTTTGGTTGAGAGTTTTTAGTATTGCAGTGTATTTGTTTCTTTTTGATGTCATTAGGATAAACTGTAAGTAATTTACTATTGTTTCTTGTTGCGCTAGGGCATAGTAGTAGGCTAGGTAAGCGGACAAGCGCACGGGTATCTCGGGTAAATCTAGGTGCTTAGGACTTACCGAGCCGCCCCTTCTTCTAATGTGGGCAACTTCAATGAAGCGTGATGCCATTGAAAAGGAATATAGGAATCGGGAAGTTTGGATATGGGCTCCGGAACAAAAAAGGCAACCGTTTTGGACATTCTACGCCGCACGACTCCGGGAATCCATCTCCGAGAAGAAAGAACTGGTCGTGGACATGTGAATCGTCCAACATAACTACTTACGAGGAGATCGACCATATTCTCAAGCGAAACAAGCAATGTTAGATACCCACAAGTACAAGTCCATTCGCTTTGCGAATAGTACTAACGCTACCATAAAGACTGTTTCAAAAAAATGTACGTTTGTTCGACCGTTAGAATCTCTATGTCCAGGTGCTATTGTGGAGCTGGCTTCAGCTTAGATTTACAGTATGGTTCCATTTATACTCTTCAATGATGTAGGATTACGGTAGGCTAGGATGGATGAAATTGGCCTAGAATGGATTTACACCATTCTGATCCATTTTTCGCCTCTCGAAAGAGCCGCTAACTCTATATAGGAACTCTGCGGTTTGCCGTAATGCCTCGTTCATAGTCTACGCTAGCAGCCCAAACGGAAATCCTGGGTACGCCATTGAGTAAAAGCGATTGTTGATTTGCCCTATGCTGTAAATCTAAGTTGAAAGCAGCTCTACAAAACTGTACCTAAGAAGCGACGAAAGGCCTTCAAGCACTAAACTTTAACGGTGAGACAGTGTGCACATTTCTGGAACGCCGTATGTTTCATATTTTCGAAACGCGCATTGAAATGCTATGAGATTTATAGTAAATATCATATTAGGTGATGACAAGACTAGAATGAAGTTTTTAAATGCCTTGTTTGGTGGAAATCCTTGCTTAGATACGTACAAGGGAAGGATACTTGGTCGAAGTGCAGTTTCCATACGAGATGTATACTATTTTAGAGCATAAAACGCTGATTTTAAATCTGCATCCAATATCGGCAAAGCGCTTTTGGAAGAAGATGAGATTTTTTTGGGGAAGCAGTCATGGTTTTATCCAAGATAAAACAAGTGTCGGAGTCTTTACGGCGCTTGAACTACTACTACTACTACTACTACTACTACTACTACTACTACTACTACTACTACCCATGGCCCCATTTGAGCTCACAGATTACAATTTTGAATGTGTTTACTGCAGCTGCGGGTTGAAAATTTTGCTTCAAAAATTTCCCATAACTATTCTCCCAGAAGCGTTTTACAGATAACGAAAGCAGATTCGAAACCAGCGTTCCATGCTCTATAAGACAACATGCTCCTCAGTATACAGTCTACAGCATATATATTATAGGAACGCCTTTTCGACCAATCAGGAGTTTTCAGTGACCCCTCTCCCTCACTTTAGACATCCACGAACTTCTTGGTTCGTCGGAGCTGCGACCAAGAGTTTCAGGCACAAAAATCGTATCTAGCTGGTTTTTCAGGTGATCCATCCGTTTCGCGAATAGGTCTGCGCGCGTTGGTGGTCTTCCTCGGGGACGTCTGGCTTCGAAGGGGATGCACTTAGATGCTCTTAATGTCCATCTGATGTCTCTTCTTCTCATGATGTGACCGGCCCATCGATGCTCGCTTTTCGACCAGATGTTGCTTGTGTCGGGTCACTTCAAAGACTGCACACAAGCGCTCTGTGGGTGGTAAAGTTTTTGACGTGACTACAGTGTTAGCCCAAGTCTCAGTTGCTTAACAGAGCGTCGGGAGAACTTTTGAGTTGAATAGGTGGGCACGAAGTTCTGCGTCTGTCAAGTCGTCGGTGGCTTCCTTCATAGCCGCGAAGGCGGCCCAGGCTGCTCTTCTTCTTTTGTTAAGTTCTTCACTTAATTCGCTCTCCATGTTCTCGCACCTCATGGGTGTGTGTTTGCGGGGTATAATTAGGCATAGCGAGCTCGCTGATTCCAGATGCTCCTTAGGATACAGCGCTAAGCTAAGCCCCGCCCACACATTGCACCTTCTTGGCAGAACCAAGACATGCCAGAGAACCTGGCAATACCTGAGGACATCGAGGATGGCTCAGCGCCAGAATGTACTAAAAGAGGGCTGCGCGGCTCAAAATTGAGCTAATATCAAATCATTCGACTGGTAAAAAACTTGTTATACATTACAAGGATCAGGTAAACCCAAAATGTTGTGTATGCTGTTCTCACTAGAAGATTGGGTCGTTCTTCTAACGTTCCGAGAGGAACAGTGAAAAAGCAGTTTTACATGCGTCCCAAGGCATGCTTTATTTTTTTGTCGAGATTTCTTAAGCTGACAGTCGATTAACAAAGTAACAATAGCATATTTGAAAAGAACGCCTCAGAAAACCCCTAAATCCGTATTTCAATCGAAATCGAGCAGATAGTTGCTGAATATCAATTTTGTAATAGCTAATTGCGTATGCTAATTGCGTATCTGACTGCTCATGATACCTAAGGTACGCTGCCTTTAGGGTGGGTAAGTTCCCGCACCCACTCAATTGCTTCCCAACTGGGATGGTCAGGGGCAATGGAAAAGCTGCATCATCGTTGTACAGTCCTTGTAGCGCCGGCTAACGTCCTCACATGCTTAGCTTAGAATGCTTGGATGGCCCGTCCTCACGTGACGTGCGGGCCCCAGTAAAGAAGTTGCCATTGATCCCTGTCCCTCGCTTCGGACATCCACGATCTTCTTGGTCGTCATCGGTGGCTGCGTCCACGAGTTCCTGGGTCGAGAATCGTATCCAGCTGATTTCTCAGCTGGTCCATCCGTTCCACGAACACGTCTGCCCATCTCGTCGGCGGTCTTCCTCGAGGACGTTTGGCTTCGCGAGGAATCCACTCAGATGTTCTTAGTGTCCTCTATCGTCCGTTCTTCTCATTATGTGACCGGCTCATCGGTGTTTCGCTTTCGCAACCGCTCTGTGGGTGGTCCTTGAAGCTTTCGACGTGGTTACGGTGTCGGCCCAAGTCTCAGCTGCGTAGCAGAGCGCTGGGAGAACGGTTGAGTCGAACAGGTGGGCACGAAGCTCCGGGTCCGTCAGTTGGTTGATGGCTCCCTTCAGAGGCCTGAAGGCGGCCCTGGCTCTCTTCTTCCCCTGTTAAGCTCAAGGTTCTCTATGCTCATCGAACGTTCGAGATACACGTAAGAAGACTTTTCCGTGATAGGGGTGCCATCTAATTCCATTTCTGCATCTTCGCAAAGGGCGTTTCTCATGAACTGAGTCTTCTTCCGATTTATTCGCAATCCTATCTTCTTCCCTACTTCGTTTAGTTTATAGTTTTTCCTATATAGAGTTAGCGGCTCTTTCGAGAGGCGAAAAATGGCCTAGAATGGTGTAAATCCATTCTGGGCTCTTTTCATCCATCCTAGCCTACCGCAATCCTACACCTTGAAGAGTATAAATGGAACCATACTGTAGATCTAACAAGGGAAGGATACTAACTTAGATTTGCCTTTTGTGATGGGACACATATATTGGAATCAGGTTTGAACGTTGATTTTAAATATGCTGTTCCTAGCTGCTTAGCGTTATTCCGAAGCGAGTTATGGGCTTGTTGTTGTGGGCAAATAACAAACTTCTGAATGTTGTAAAACGGCGTGTAGATAAGAACCTGCTCGAAAAAAAAATGCTAGGATGTTGAACTAACCTCAGAAGTATTTTACAATTGCGAAACCATCTAGACGTCTACACCGTAGCATCAGTAGGCCGAGGAGCACGCAAACTTTGCATAGAAAAGAGATCATAACTCGCTTCAGAATAATGCTAAGCAGCTAGGAATAGCATATTTGGATTGGAATCAGCATCCCAAGCTCTTTCCAAGTACATGTCTCATCCCAAAAGGCGAATCTTAGTTAATATCCTTCCCTTGTAAGCTGAAGCCAGCTCTACAATAGCACCTGAAGGAGACATGGAGATTCTAACAGTCGAACAGACGTACATTTTTTGAAACAGTCTTTATGGTAGCGTTAGTACCATTCGCAGAGCGAATGGACTTGTACTTGTGGGTATCTAGCATTGCTTGTTTCGCTTGCATTTTCTGGGTATAATTATAAGCACTTGAGCAAGCCACGTAACGGCGTGTGCAAGATGGTTGATTTGTTCTACACTTTCCTAGTCTTAATCTTCTTACATCAGTGAATTCACATTTACTGCCCATCTTCATTGTTGATTTAGTGTGTTGAAAGTTTTTGTTCTCCTGGAGGGATTACTACTCCCGTGTGACATTTCTGCAAAGTCGTTTGGCTGCTAGCAGATCACCACAATCTTTGCAGTTTTTCTGTAGCTAGTATACGGTAGAACTGCAATAACACGCTAACCTCCGTGACGCGAACGAGACACGGTGGTAAGTTGATGTGGTGAACGAGACAGCATTCTACCATTTCGGCTCCTAGCATGTGAAACTCGTCGAAGGCGTAGACCTGAAGCTATGTAAAAATTCTGAAATGATGTTGGTTGCGACAATCCTCACCTGTTCAACAATCCTGGCCAATTTGTTCGGTTGGGCGGTACTGCAGTGATCTTTCAAAGCATTAACGATTTTGCTTTGAACATGATCAGCGGCTGCTTTGCTATGCAAATCAAGCAGATTGTTGTCTAAATTTACAGATTACCACAGTAAATTATACTCTATCTTAATTATCGCAAGCCCGTTGCAGTATTCCTTATATCATAAGTTGATTGAGACAACTGAATTTTTTGAGAATGCCTTAACCTGGAGAACGAAATAATAATCTTTTATAATTCCCATTTTAGTAGTCCCACTTCACGATTTCTAAAAGACCGAATTGTTCTTGAAAGGTTTCGGTTGATTGCGCCTACCATTATATTCATAGCAAAAACTCGAGAAACAGAAGTGACAGTCACCTTTTCGGATAGAGTACTGCTGTAGTTTTTGCTTAGCAGACAACTTTCTGCGCTTAGTGAATGAGATGCCTGATGCAAAGGCATGCTCTTCCAGAAGTCCTTTTCAAATGGATATGAAATCGAAAATACTTACCTGTGTTACCTGAGAAAAACTGCATAGCCTGAAGCGCACAATACGATTGCGGTTCCCAGTCAACTACAGTCTTAAATGCCGGCGCTTTTTCGATCACCCGTCGAAAAAACGCAACAAATGGTGGTGGAAGTCCCGATAGTGGAACTCGTGAACCACATTCAAATATCAGCTCTGCTTCTACCATGCTGTAAGCGATGGATCAATTTCCTTTTAAAGTTCTTGCTCTATCCTCCTTACCGGTAGCAGTGTCTCACTGCCATCATAGCAAAGACTGTTCGAGAAAGCAGTTTTGGAATATCAGTTTCTGCGATCTCGTCAATATGCGGCATACTGGATACGAACATCTGGATGGTTTGATATTCTTTCTCCAAAAGACTGACCACATGTTCTGACGTTAGGTTGGACTGAAAAGATTTTTTTGCTGAAAAACTCAGAAATTTTTTTATAACACAAAATTTGAACGAATATTGCGGGAACTGTGTGTAAAGAAATGATGCAAAAGTTGCAGGCGCAAAAGAGATGCGTTCGGGGGGAATCGAACCCCCGTCGAATGCTTGGAAGGCATCCATGCTAACCATTACACCACGAACGCTCACTTTCGCGGTTGACAGGGAAGCATGTTGCTGTTCATTCCCCCCCCTCCCCCCCCCCCGAGTGAGAGTAACTAAAAAAATCAAAAATACCCTTGACATCTTCTGCATTGATAAGGCTCCTACAAAACACTGATATAAGTTCAGAAACATATTCTTAATATAACGTGCAAACAGTGAAATGCACCCAATTCCAGAAGTCGCAACTTCTTGGCAGTGTACAAGCTGACTGATTAAATTCACATGTATCGGAACCTCAACTTATGTGTAACGATTAGCCGCCATAACTTATTTGATGGATACTAATGTTTCCTCTTTCCTGCAGCGCGGACCTGTGAATTCAACATTTTCTTTGATAGCGTTTGGGGTAGAAAAAGTGTAGTTTGATTGTTGCGCAACGATAGAATACTTGAGGAGGAACAGTTAAAGACTCGCTACATTGTTAATCAAATGTCAGGGACACTCGCTTAAGAGGTAAGGTTAGAAGGAGAATATATACGGGATTAAGAATGAAGCTGCACTTATATCTGATGGCTAAACTAAGAGTGTCCTCGATTATAAAACTCATATCAAAAGCCATTTCTCCGGAAAGCTAGCATGGATGTCAAGCTCAAAGAGTAAAGATCAAAACCTTGCAACATGACTAGAACCACTCTTTGCAAAGAGAGTACTAGGATTTGATCGTAGCCATTTAAGTGCGAGGCTACTTTTTTATCGAAAAAATTGAGGATTAAGCGCCATCCTAGAGAAGGTTGATTCAACTTGTATTTTGCAAATAACCTGCATCTAGTCCACCAAAGCAGACATACAATACGATACTTAATTTATTTAGTTTTTATTTATTATACTTCAAAGGTTTCTAGTGCTTGACTTGATCTATGATACAATATTTGCACATATTCATTTGAAATATTCGTTTAATGGGTCACACTTCTTCTTTGGTAATGGTCGCCATATCACGTGGAGAGGGCGAACATTGCATGCCATCAAACAGACAAACGACTTGGCAACTTCGGCGCTTTACTTTGAGAATCCTTCTTCAGAGAGTGAGGAACATGAAGGCAAAAAGTCTACTTTTGCTCAACAAATTTGCCCCAGAGATCGTAGAGCGAGTGACTGCGAGGCAAATGCTCCAATGTTGTAACGCGAAGCATCGTCATTTCAAATGTTCCGACTGATGTTTGCCTTCTTACTGTGTCATACCGTCCCAGTTTCTTTTTGGAATCTATTGAAAAGTCGTGGTCTCTCAATCAAACAATTTTGTATTCCTTACATATCGAACAGGCGCTGGCGTGGACTTGTAAGCGTCATGTGCTCTGACGATCAAAGCCAGAAGCGGCAATGGTGGGCTTGGCTGTTCGTCACCTCGATGACATTTCGTTTTCGACGACAGCCGACCACGTCGTCCAGACAAAGAGCCGTGTCGAACAACTGCAACATCTTTTTAATGAAATAGGGATAGATGTAGTGCTTCGCTGTAAGGGCTACGTGACTGACGTTATCCGACATAAAAAAATAAAAAGAGGGAAAGCGACTGAATTTCGCATAAACAACCGCAAAAAACACGTCTGCGCCCTTTTATGTTATCAAAGTAAAACTATCGCGTTTATAACAGTCGCGTATACTAATCTTTCATCTATTCATAAATTTCTTCAGCTTTGTTTAGTGATAAAGCGGTTGTCTGTTTTTGATGGAATTCTTTACGATGGCGCGACATTTCTGACCGCCAAGAATGAGCGACAAAGATTGCGCTTGAGCGAATAGCTACGAATGCCAATTTTCATGTGCAAAATTAATTTTGGACGTAGCTATTTCTTCACGCGCAATTTTTGTCGCACAATCTCGGCACCGCAAAGACACTACCCTAAGCGTCAGATCTACTAGTTTATGAATCTTCGGCCCTGCATGTTCTCGTGAGGCGCAAAATGTGAAGAAAGGCGCTCTACAGCCCTTTCGCACTTTTATTGGTGCCACAAGCATGGACTTCCGCCAAGTTTTGTCAGCAGCGCTCTGTCAAACGTGTTAGAACACCAAAATGAGTATCATCTGCGCCCCAGAGAGGTTCCCATAGGTACTACGTCATCTCGCTGCCTTTCGCACTTTTGAACGTGTTAACCTCGGGCACTTCCGTTGAAATCTCAGGAGAAACGTGTCAAAAAGAGCGAAAGGCAGCGTCGCACCACGTACGCACGCTGGTTCACATGGGAACCTCTCTGGGGCGCAGACGGTATTTAGTTTTTATAGATATATTAGCTGTATGGCTAAACTCACTTTCCTTCACCATGCCAACACTGAGGCACTTCTGAAACCGGCACGCTTGACATCTGGAGCGGTAGCGTTTCTCTATAGGACAGTTGCGATTTCCAGCACATGCATACTTCGAGGCTTTCTGTACCGTGCGCTACAACCAGCACTAGTTGAATATTTCAGCCGTTCTATTTAGATGTTACCGTACCTTGAAGAATCCTTTGCAGCCTTCGCAAGTTCTAGCACCGTAGTGAAAGCAAACAGCACGATCACCACAAACTGCGCACACCTTCTCAGCATCTTCGTCTACAGAAGCTGCGGCTGCTGTAGAAGCAGTCGGAAAGTCGAATGGTTGCGGTAACATGCTGAAATTGTGAGAAATGAGTAGCTTGCATACAATTTTATAGTAGTATATATCGCATTCTATAAACTTGATACCAATCTGACCGTACTGGCTACCCCCCCCCCCCCCTCCTCCCCACAATAAGTATGTGTTCTGCATATAATCCTAACGATGAGATTAATATGGATTAAGCAAAATTCTGCAAACACTCTTTACTGCAAACTGTCTCCGTATGCTGTACCGTACCTTCTTGATAGTTTGGAGCTAGAATAAGTGCAGTTCTAGATTCTTAATATAGTCTTAGATTGGGAATAAGGCATTAGACAACGTTTTCTGAGCGCCGTGGTTGTTTTGCCACTCTCTCACTAATCCACCTTTTACATTAATCCTCAAATTACAATTGTGACTAAGCTTACATCAGCCAATAATGATAAGACGAGCGAAAAAATTACAGGCACTTCCTGACAAACAAAGGTGCTACTGTTTGATTATGCGAAAACATTCGAGTGGAGCAGCGCAACCGCCCAAAGTGGCTTTCGCCAGATCTGCTAAAATTTGAAGGAAATGGCTAGGAGATATGATCACGATATGCTACATCGGCTTTCGGCGTAAACCCCTGCAAAGCGGACATGCATCAGCAAATTTTTTGCTTGTTCCCGAATGAAATAGACTGTCATGCATTGGTATATCGTGACACAAGAGCACTTATGGCATAATTTCTCACCAGTGGCCAAATCTGATCAAATGCTGAGCACAGAAAGTGGTCGCTTGCGATGGCGCCGGTTGCAGACCATGATGCGGGGATGGTGTGCCCGCATGGCTGTTAGCCGAACTCGAGCTGTAAACGATGTATAGAACCGTGCAGATCTGTATAACACACGGTTTCTTTGCTCTCCGTCCAGCAAGATGCGAAATTCATTATCCGCCATCATCACCATAACCCTTCTTACAAGAGTTATGCACTCTTTACTACAGGCTTACATCGATTTCGTCAATTCGATTGTTCAAACTACCGCTTACGACAAAGAATTACTATAATTAGAAACAACACCGCTCATAATTTGTGAAGAAAACGCAAATGTCTGCGGAATTCAAGACATTTGCGTCGCATCGCCATATCTCGGTTCAGAGTGAACGGATTTTAAATCCAAGAGCACCATACCACTTAGCACAATAGCATACAACCTTTGCCACATAGAAGTGCCTGTTTGGGTAGTTATATGAGTGCACGGTGGGCAGTCAGTTTTCAGCAGCTTATGAATGTGTGTTCAATCAGACACTGAGTAGCTACCGTAAGCAAGCGTCTGACAAAAATCGTAAGATTTAACTGCCTGCTGTACACCTACAGTACTTAAGCAGGCATTTCCTCAGATAAAAAGATGCGCGGCGTCAAGCTGAGTTGAATGATGTTGCCCTTGATTTTTATCGGAAATTATGAGTGGTTTTTAGTAAGACATTTTGGAAAGCATGAGTTTGCTTTCATGGCCCGCTCACTGAGACATTAATGTAAAATCTCCGTTCTTCAAACCCAGAACATGAAGAGTTCAACGTCACATGCAAAACCCACATTTTTGGGATAGTAAGATACTGTCACGTGAATTTACACTTACTGGCCACTTTATCAACGAATGACCAAATATCGAAATTCTAGGCTTACCTGGTCGTTCCATGACTTCCTCGCCTTGTATCCGCTACGGCTTGGCTGAATTGTGGTTGTTGTCCATAAAATAGCGCTTGAGGCGCAAATGGATTTGGCTGCTGTCCAAATGGTCCAGGTTGCGGAGGCATAAACTCGCAAGGTATGCTGTAAAAGGCTTTTGACAATGCTTAATGGGAAGATCATGGAAGGCTTAGGGCTAATTCACATGATGAGTAACGGAAACGGATTAATTCTGCCAGCTGATCTCCTACTACACGTCGGGCCGCTTTGAAAGTGCGCCTGGTCAGGAACACCTGCTAACCCTCGTTACATTGCAAAGATTAACAGAACTGGACAGAAAGACAGGAATAGGTAAACAATACACTGGGTGTGATTGAAAACTAAATTGCCACAACTGAAGCTTCAGGAGTGAGAGACGATCGGTCAAAGAAAAAATCTGTCAGTAAGAAACTGCCGTAATCCAACGATAAATAAATCCCTGATTATGTTTTTTGAAAGATAGCACCAAGTTCTTTTATTATAATCAATGTAGCGAGTCGTTCGATTCATTCAGTCGGCGCAGGAAGACGAAATGAATCATCGTCATGAATTGCGCGACGAACTACAGTACGCTGCGGGGGTGAACAAAATGATGGACTAGATGGAATGAAAAACTCAAAAGGAAAACAAATCTCCACTTTTCTTGATTACATTTCTAGCAACACCCGCTTGAGAGTGTGACTCTTAACAAGCATGACACTTTCAGAACTAATCTGAACTCTCGAAGGCGAGCGGTAAAGGAAGCAAATCTTGGCGCGCTGATGACTTTGACCGATACAGAATTCGCAACCTTTTGTGCACATGCCGAAGGGAAAAGCATGCAACGAGGACAAAAAATTCGTCTTTTCAAAGTACTAGTCCGTACCAGTAATGAACAAAAAGGCTCATAGAAATACATACGCAAGGATTAGAAATTAGAAATCAGAAATCCTGAGTGATGTGTGCTACAAACATCAGCATTAAACGTGGGTATCCAAAACAGTCTCGGACCCTTCGAGTTTCTATTGATGCTACAAATGACAGCACCAGCATTAATCCGGCCTCATAAAACATCATCAAATGAATTTACTTGTAGAGCCCATGATAAAGATAACAGCAAAGTTTCCAGTGATACTATTAGCGACTGTTTTTGGAGCACTTCTCTGATGCTCGTTAAGTTTTCGTAAACTTTGGACTTCCAAAAACTAACTCGTCGGTAGAGGCAAATCATTTTGACAAACAAAGCAGATCAGCGACCGTTCGCCCGCACTTCATAAACGACGACATTTTCAACAAATGTCACGCGGCGAACACAATCATCACACCTTCTTTTTTCGACGTGCCGACAACATTTTTTGGCGGAAGAATGAACGGACCATGAGGGTTTGTCTAGCGAAAGAACTGCCCGGCAAGAACTTACCCCATTATAGACGGGTGGAGGAACGCTGAACTTGGTGCCAAAGGATTGTAGGGTTCCGTTTTGATTTGCAGTTCCGTGTTCAGATCCATTCCTGATGTGCCCTACAAATAATTTCTATACAATCAACTCAAACAAACTCAGGAATAGAGCGGAAATACTGACAAGGCTTAGCATCATGCTGACGATGAAACGAACTAGCTTTGCTCATCAATCAATATCAAAATGACAATTTTGATGTTACAATAGACCTATTAAGTTTTTCAAAGTTCCTAGTAGATTCATCAAAATTATCCAATAAACAGATTACGAGAGTCTGTTAGAGAGGCAAGATAATTCTGTTAAAAGCAGCCAAGCAGGGAAATTGAAAAGGAGAGGAGACATAAGCAAAGGTAAGGAAACGAATCAATGAAGACCCCAAAAGGAAGAATATCTGAGAGCGCTTTGGAACGAATGCGTAGCCATTTTCTTCACTCATTTTTCGTAAATAGCGCTTGAATAAAAACACTAGACATGCAGTGATATTGCTAGATGTCGCGTTCTTACAACGTAGAAATAATTTTTCTTAAAGTTTTACTTTCGATACACTGGGGAATTAGACATGCTGGCTAACACTGGCGACCGTTTTCCAGAGTATCAACGTGAAAATATTGGCGAGTGACTCATGGTCCTGTGTAAGCAAATCCTTAAGTTGCTTTCTGATGAAAAAATCAACTAAGTTCACAAAAAAAATAGCGTTAATTTACAATTTGAGATAAAGAACCAAAATCATAAAGTTTTACGGAACATCTATTAACAGCATCATTTGTTGCTAAAAGCTTCATATGTCCAATAAAGTGATTATGTTTAAACTAATCTTTAAAAGGTATAAATCAAGGATACATTATTAGTGCTCGAAAGTTTGCAAAGTAAGTAGAATCATGAGCTCATTCTCGTGGTTTCAGAAAAAATTGGGAAAACGCATACTTGAATTACTATCGTGTTTTCTTTTATCTGATGTTTAGAAACTTAAATCAGCAAAAATGATGAGGAAATCAGCAAAAATGATGAGGCTAATTCTCGTCCTTTACGAGTTGCTTCCGGAGGGACCGATGCGTTTGTTATGCAAATATTTCAAGAAATGCTTGATTTCTACGTTTTCTTGATCATCATGTTTTCACACAAATTTTTTACCACCGAATATTACAATTTTACCATCTAACTGACACAGAAGTGCTCCCTCAACGCTAAATTTTTCGCTAGTCGGAAGGTTCCTTTGATTAGGTGAGAGCGGGGCTGCAGCAAAATCCTAGCTGAACCCGGATTGCACCCAGTACAGTGTGATGTTCGATGCCTTTTTGCGGATCTAGTAAAGCTGATGCTGCGGCGAACACCGGATCTAGTTTGGCGCTGGCGAGTGGAGCGGATGGATGAGATGTCGTCATCATTGATAGGGATGCCGTACAAACCTCGGAGCGCTCGGTAAGACATACTCGCACATAACTGAGCAAGTCGTTTCCGTTCAGGAAGACTGCTGCCGTCAGCGGATTAACACCCAATAGAGCCGTGGATTACCTTGTGGACGCATCGAGACAATAGAGAACGGCTAATGGATAGCCCCCAGGTAAGCGCCTGCATGTACGCGCTCACAAGCGGCACGCTCAAAACACGCGAGGCGACATCATCACGGAGCGGCGACCGGCGGCAAGTACCAGGCATACTGTAGTGGAATGACGTCATCGACTTGCTGGACTACTGTAGCAATGGCTACGAAATCACTGACGCTATTGAACGAGATGTGTTTTCCAAAAACTTGTGAAAACAACCTTGATGAGCCTTGGTACATTTGTGATTTCAAATACACTTTGTAAGTTTTTTAAAGATGCACTGCACTTCGTTGGTAGCCAATGTGTTGGATTATATCGTGAGAGATGAACGAAAAAAGTGCAACTTCTGGCTCATATGCATGTTTCTGGACTTCGGAATTTGTGAATTTCAAAGGCCTAAAATGTTGCCCGAATTCCTCGGACCGAAACTCATCAGATAACATGCGAGATCTTACTACCTTGCATTTCAAAATTCTATTCTCAACGAGCAGAAATAAAAGGATTTTATTTACACTCTACTTTAAAAATCATGATTTGAACCTCTATGATTACTTTGCGAACGAGATTTTTGCCGTTGAACAAATGGGCAAGCTTGATATCAAGAAGAGTAACGGCAGTAGCAAATTCTACGTCTTCCTCTATAAGCTCCAGCCATTGATCAAAACTGTGGACTCTCACAAACATATTTCTTATCGATTTTTTAGGAATCGATTTGACGTAACACTTCCTTATGCAATTTTCTCAGGATAACCATTGACAAAAAGGTTTGAGTTTATCGTAGTCGTTGCTTCCACCAACGTTTTTGGTCAAATACTTCCGTTAACATACTAGGTTTCACAGTTTCAGTACGTTATAGTCACTACTGCAGTGAAAAACCTATGTCAAATTATGGTGTTTACTCTGGAGTTTCCTACTGAACCATTCCTGGATGCTTCAGTTTCGAATGTGCAGCTCATAGGAGTCGTCTCCCCCCTTCCCCCCATTTCCCCTCAAAATTCCTAAAACTGGCGTAGGTGGGTTACATAATTGTGCAAATACTTGTTTTCATCAAAAAATTGTCTAGATATTATTGAAATGAAATCAGCCTTGTGAAAACTCTTCTAGGAAGTGAGCGTGTGCCCCGCCACGCCCCTCTAGTTTTGTGGTACAGATCCAAAGAATTTTGGAGTCAAAATCATTGCAGAACGGCAATGTAGTCGATTTACAAGCATGCGGCGAAGAGGCTGCAGTTTAGCAAGGTGATGTTGCAAGATGTAAATCTCACAAAACCTGTAGTGATGAAATCCCTGAGTTTCCTTTCGACTTACAAATTTCAAAAAAATTCAAAGTATTAGGTTTATCTCAGGAGTCTTGCACCATCTAAAGTTCGTCTCAACAGTGCATTAGTTGGTAAAGAAAGATCGCGGACATGACAAAAACTTTTAAACTGCTGTAAATTTGAGGAAAGTGACCCTTTTTGTAAATAGTAAATTTCTGCAAAGACAGTGTTGTCTACAAAATAGACTCATTTTATAGAGTTCAGCATTTCATTTCACGCCACCAGCATGAATGTGCAGAAGAAGTAAGGCCGATTTGAAAACTGACTTGTTTGTGCAGGATTTTCTTATTGTCAGACAATGTGCGGCGGAGGGCTTATGTTACTAGTTCCGCAAAAGTCCATAAGGGCCCTTATCAAGTTGAGCCACCTTCAGGGCGCCGTTTGGAAAAACACTTTTCCAAAAATATTCCGAGTAAGTGAGCTCAGGGTCCTCCCTTCTTGCATGGAAAGAGCCACATGTTTGACTGCTGCAAATATTGTTTGTGTAATCTTGCACATTTTTTGGCCCATCACCCGCGTGGCGACCCTCAAAGAGCGATGACAGTTTCGAAAAAGTTACGGTCAGCGCCAGCTTTGGCGGCTTTTACTTTTTGTGCGCATAACGCAAGACTCGAGCATAACTGAAAGTCGTGATAGGCCAAAAAATGTGCAGTCTGAAGTCGACATCTCATCCAGATCACTCGAAACTTAGACGACTTTGTTTGTTCAGCGCAGAATATTAACAGCAGAAAGAAAAATTGTGATTTTTATCGTCGCAGAGTTTACGTTTTTTGAGTGTAAATAGACATGGCTTGGCATTGATAAAATTCAAAAACAGTCTTGGAAAGCTCGAAATTCTTAAACAGTTTTAGACATTCGTTGTTGAAGCCCGACCGAAAGCGAAAAAAAAAATGCGTCAACCAAAATATTGAAAGTGTCCGGGAAAATTCTTTATAACGTGAAACAACAAGCGTATCATAGTCGCATACTTTAAGTGATGTGTATTATATGCCCCTATTCTTTACATATTCGATATATTTACTCGTAATGGAACCAGAGCATAAAATGATTTTATCTTCACTTCGACTTTGAACGATCATAACATTTGAACAATACCGATTTTGCTTGATGATTGGACCCACTTTTATCGACCCTTTCAGCTTTCAGATTTTCACAGATCCATATTTCGCCTGCTTTTTCTTATCAAAGTCTATCAGGTACAACAAGAATTGTTTTGCCCTAGTGATCAATGCTGAAAAATTATCAGTTCGTGCAAACGCAGCCTGTAGCAAAAGTAAGTAAAAACTGTCTAATTCGTAACTCTCTGGAGTCAATGTTTTTCGACAAATCTGAAGCTTTTCAGCTAGGTTGACTGTATCATGAAACGGTCTAATCACACTACAGAGCGTTGAGAACGCAACTGTAACAGTATTCATGGTCTATTTTTTGAACAAGTATACGGTGAAGTGAAGATTTCATATCATAGTTAAGCGACACCAGTGGCCGTATTCATCTACGAACCCAGTGGGTTCCAGAACCCACTGGGTAGGCTTAACCCACGAGATCGGTATCCATGAAGCTAGTGGGTTCGTGAACCCAGCAATGCTTTTTGTGGATAATCGATCCAACCCAGCTGGACTTTTTCGTTTACCCACTGGGTTCGAATGAATACGGCCTCAGTTTTCCCATAAAAAAGATGTTTTGAGTCGAAGCGACCTTTCTGAATAAATTCTAAATCAGTTTGAAGGTCATTGAATGTTGATTCCAACTTTATTATTTATCCGCCGAGCCTTTGGACATATTTTTGGAGGGCAGAATGAACGTGGAATCTAGGTAAAGTCATTTACGTTTCCTGCAGCGCCCAAACACATATTCAACATGACTACGTAATACAGATGGTGTTCACTGCGTACTCTGTACCTTCAACTTCCACGAAACTTTCTACTATTTTGTTTCAACTGGAAATTCAAATTTTTAGCACGAACAATGTTCGTAGCACGGCGTCCAGAGGGCTTAGCAGATAGAAAAAATAGATTTGGAATGCTGTGCAATGCTCTTGCGATAAATCAGAGAACACTAGGAAAGGTCATTAAGATTTGAAACACTGGACTTGTAAGTGGAAGAGTTTTCAAATTACATCTTGACAAGTTCGGCTCTTGTTTACTCTAAAGTTCTCTAATGTTGCTATTGAGTTCTACAGTAAGAAAAAAGTTTAAAATTCGCCCCGTAATGCGAATCCAATTGTAAGCTGAAGGCTACGAGCTCCAAACGTTCGCGAATGAAAGCAAAAGAGATGTTTACGTTTACGATTAGGCTATATACAAAATCTTTTACCCCTACTAAAAACTGTATAAAGACGAAAAAAATGGGTTTAACTCACAAAAACTGTTCTAAAAAAGCAGTGCAGCAACTCGTCTAAAACACTAGTTATTGTACTGAGAGGTTTGTATGGACTTGCTGATGAGCTATGCGTAGTGCTTTGAGTAGGAGCGGTTCTATAATAAATTCAAAAGATATCAAATCTAGCGTACAACTTTTCAGCAGCGCGAAATATGTCGTAAATTCAACTTAACTTTTGATTAAATGCATTTTCGATCGCAGCAGGGAAGAGCTTATCATGGTAAGACTATCAAAAAATTAAAATTATGTGATATCATACCAGAGAGATAAAGATTAGACTAGACAATGGATAATTATTTTTTGATACCTGTTTATTACTTATCAACACAAATCATGCTCACGTGTCAGCTTTGTGTTTCCTCAGGATTTGCGAAAAATCATCAAGCATTGAAAAAGCACGCTTTCCGCTCTTTTCTTAATCTATGACTTCTTGATTGTCAACAATAAAGGTGTATCGCGAGAATTCTGCACAGTACTCCAGACTCAATGCTTGTTTTGTACACATTCGAAGAGCTGAATTTTAGATAAACTTTACAATTTCATTCGATGAATTTGCAGTACACAATGCCAAAATGGATGAAAGCATAGATGTATCATTTGTACATATCTGATCTCATAGAATAAATCCAAAACGCTTTGAAAGCTTTTTGAGTTTCCAAATCATTCCAAATAAGAGAGGAATTCGACAGAGAACTTCACGATCGCTGGGACGAATGAACATATAAAAATTTGAGAAAAATGATGGAGAAGTATTTGAAGCACCCAACGCACATAAATGCAAAATGTTCTATTAACAAAAATTTTAAGGAATTCTTTTGGCGATGCTAAAGAAGGCCATTTTGGATTTTTAATTCAATTAATCCCGTAACGATGCAGACGTGAAACATCTCTGAAGATATGCATAACAATATCCTAAACATCTCTCGATACCTATCATAGCACACATTTACCTTTAACAATTCTTGGCTATCAAACCCAAGTTCATTACCATGGCAGAATGAATCTTGAATTTGCACTCATGCAAACAGATTTGCTTTTTTTCATGAGGAAGGCCGTAGTACGGTAGCGAATAAACTGTGATTGCTTGGACAAAGGGAGGATTTTACAGCGGAAAAAAGCAGAAAGAATTCAATGATTTCGCGGATTTGTAACTCTATACAAGAGTCGCTTAAATGACAGAATGCTCAAAATCGTTTGTCTACTAGGATTACCATATTGAAAACAACAAGCGCTGAAGAACTAGGAAGCGGAATAAATCACAACGGAAGAGCTTACGCAACGAAGGAAGATGACATGACATTACTATCCGATATCACAGTACTTGAGAAATTTCTGTGCTAACTAAAACCGAAGCGCTGAAACGCTTTTTATCGATAGATGTGCAAAAGCAAATGCTTTTTTCAATATACATTTGACCGTGGATTTTTTATTGTGGAAACTCCTACTGCAGAACATGTGTTAAGTCTTCCATTTTGTATTAGAAACGCATATAGCTTAATAGTGCGAATAATAGGTGATGAAAATTCACCTATAACATACTGAGACCGATGTCATGTGCCTTCAAGGATTAAAGTCAAGAATTCAAGAGTTTCGACTATTTTTTTGTGCCACCTACATGATCGGCTACCACCCACTTTTAAGCGATACCGTAATGAAGCGTGACTGCATGAAAACATATTCCTTTTCAATAGTATGCAGGAGAACAAACTGATAGTAGTGACTGAGCAGAGAAGTGATGGAAGGAAGGATTACGGTAGCCAATGACGCATCATCAACACATTGGAAATCGATTTGTGAGGAGAACAGTTATAATTCTTTAAAGCCACTGACCTGAGCTCTCGCCTCTCCACTGGTGCTCTCAAAACGGCTGCTTTGTTCCTGAAATATGCTATCATTAAAGGAAATTAAGCATCTTGTTTTGTCCAGCAAGCCGGAGGAAGTCACTCAGTGGTATTACGAACTTAGAAAACTATGTGGGGGTGATCTGACGAATGGCTGAATTGTGGTCAACTTGCGTCTTGATATCTCTCAGCTCAACAAAACTGAGATGACAAGTAATAAATTTTAACTCAGATAAAGGCTGTCCCAAAACTGTCTCTACTATTTGATCATTAATAGCTCCCTTATCCTATTGTCTGCCGCCGCTATTAAGCTACCATTCTGTAGAGCTATAGCAGAGTATATTTACATACCTCTCTTTATCATTGTAGGATTACGGTGGGAACTTACAGCATATGACGCCATTGTGAAGTAGGGCGTCAGGGAAAGAATTTTCAAAGAATCTGGAAAGCTGCGTAGAAAAATTTCCAACCGCTGGTTTCACTACACAATTGTTCACGAGTTTTAAGAGCTTTTGAAATGGCGTAAACAAATCCTTGAGAAGTATTGAAAAAACGGTTATCAAAACGTGTTTGACATGATTTATAACGAAGCATTACAGTGTAGTGCGGGCTCCATATCTGAATCGGGTGTAGGGCGTTAGGCGACAAACCCAATTTTTTGGACCCCAGAAAACTCCCCGTGCAAAACTTCTCCTGCGCCAAAAACAGGGGGTGGGGATCGGGACCGATACATTACCCGACGCCAATGAAAAAATATTGCGTAGTTTTGAGTTACGGGATTTACGTTGCTTGCGTTTTGCACGTTTTGTCGCCTAACGCTTGCCCCCATCTGAATCAAGTAAACTAGTAAGCCTAGCGTAAAAGTTTTTAGCTTATTCGGTTCCCTAACAGAGATAAAACATGCGCCCTTTCCGATTCAAACCCCTCTTCAGATTTCCTACCGCATTCCTCAAGTAATGAAGAAAGATGGGTGTTCTGCTCCGCAATGTAAATCTAAGTTGAAGTCAGCTTTAAGGAAAACCTATACAGTGGCGAAAAACAATGGAGTAAGAGTATCAGTTGCTCACGATCAAACAGTAGAGACATTTTTTAGGACATCCTGTATAGCCGATTCGACTTTAATCCAACCAAATGTTTGGTGTTGATTGCCATACGTCTAGATCAACAAAACTGATAAGGCTAATTTTTTCACTTCCAATTAATAAACCATGCTTTTGACTTAACAACTGGAAGCATGATAGAATAAGTTGCGCGGTCCAGTGTAACATGATTATTTTTGTATGATTCGTGCCGTTATATTGATAGGAAATTTATCACTTATAAGCGACAAATAATGACTTCAAATAACGAACAAATAAGTGCCCGAAAATTTTTCAAGGACAGCTATATTTTCTAGCTACTTATAACGTACTTCATCTTCATGGTGGTGAAATTTTTTCCTGGGTTTCTCTTCTCTTTTTGAGACTGCAGGTTTGAAATCTCTTCATATGTTTAGAGATTTCAAAAAAAAAAAATGGTACAAGCTGGCCATAGGACTGTATGTCAAGATGTAAAGCAAAGTCTGTACCCTACTCTTCATTTTCCGTCAGAACTTTAAAGGCATCGTCCATCCTAAGTTGAGGGTCTTGAGCTTTTGCAGCATATGATAGTAGGTTCCCCTATCAAGCCAATGCCCAAGTCGCGGCGCAAAATGTCGCTTAGGAAGCGAAAAAATCGCTCCGGAATAACGAAGATGCACGAGCACCCCCACACGGCACCGCCTTCCCCATCTATGCCCGTGCATCCGTGCGCGCCCATCCAATCACCGTTCCGGAAAGCCAGCCTGTGAATTCTCCGGAACGGTGACTGTCGGGGCTTCCGCGGATTTTCGACTTCATATTCGAAAGCAGGGACATGAGGCCCCGAAACGATAAAAATCTGAAGTCGAGAATCTTGGTGGACGGTGCCTTTGAAAGGCAAAATGAATGTTTTCATAGGAGAAGTACACTCCAGTACACAGTGTGTTATCAAGTTGATGAAAATATCCAACCCGCGTTCGTTATCCTCGCGCTTCAGTATAGAAATGTCCCAATGTATGGGTGGAGGACATTAGGTCGCCGAATTTGGAAGAGTCCCGCGCGGATTCCCTGCAGGAACGCATGTCCGCGCATGTACAAGGGTGCGTATTTGTCGCACATGATCGCGGGGACCGCCCTTTTTCGGCGACCTAATGTCCTCCACCCCCAATGTATTACCATAGTATTGAGAGTAATACGACATGAAATTTTCTTTTTGTTTGCGCACATACATACAGAGTGTGCCAAAAAATGTGCCTACTGTTTGATTACCATTAGTTCTCTTGTCAGAAGATTTGGGTACCATTTTGTAGAGCTGGCTTCAACTTAGATTTATAGTGTCGAACGAGTCATCCACCATTCGCTCTTCATTATTATAGGAACACAGTAGGAACTCGCAGCATATGGCGCCACAGAGATGGGCCGTTCGAAGAAACCACGAAAATTTGGAAGATTATATAACAAAATTTTGAAGACTGATTTCACTAAATAACTTTCTGAGTGTTGGGGAGTTTTCAAACTGTGTGATCAAATTATTGACGAATATCAGAAATCAATTATTACGCTACATTTGGCATAACTTATGAGAAAAGCATTAGGTAAAGTACAAAGCTCATATTTGAAATCAACGGCTCTGATTAAACTAGTATTGGAGACTTCAGCTTCTTTGGCTTATTTAGAAGTGAAATATGGTCTTCAATGACATAAAGCCATCCTTAAAGTTTTTACCGTAATCTTACACCAAAGAGGAGAAAACGGGAAGTCGCTCCATACTGTAGATCTGTTCTACAAAATGCTACTTGAAGCTTTTCAAAATGACAAGAGAGTTATTAACAACCAAACAGTAGGCACATTTTTTGGGACACTGTATATACACAAAGGAACATATAGCATTTGGTTCTATATTGACTTGTATTTCATAGTTAAATTCGTACGCACAAAGTTATAAGAACGGCATTATTCATTGTGTTATAATATATCAATCTGTAGTTACGCACGACCTCACTTCTTTTCTATCGCCTGAAGGAGATAAACGTGAAAAGCTACTTAAAGACTTCTATGACTACTTCGTAGATGGAAACATCTAGTTCAACCGCATTATTATACGTTCTTTGACTATAAGTTCAAACAAAATAGAGGATTGTGCCTTATGATGTTTGAGTATGTATTACCGTTGCTAACGGTGTACTACCGGGGTCACAAAATGTTTTCGGCCGATGCTGATTGATGTCAGCCTAGCAGATTCTACTTTGTGCTACACTTCCGACCAGATAATGAACGCACTTTTCATGCACCGACATCAAATTGTTGTACTGTAACACCTACAGGGGAGGAAGAGGACAGTATGTCGCCGAAAAGGATCGTCGCGCGGATATCTGCAACAACGATGCACCTCTATGAAGCCTTGTGCCTGGCCGCGAGGGGGATCCTTTCGGCGACATATCGCCTTCTACCTACTGCACCAACGGCAACACCAGTAACAGCAGTGGCAAGAGCGGATTTCGCTGCCTTGGTGGACTACTGGTCTTTTTGCACATGCTCCTGCCAGTATAGAACCTCAAGACGTAGTTGGGAGATGCTGATGCGCACTCCAATTTTGGCCTAATCCAACTCGGGACAAAGTGTATGGCACATATCGCCCGATACCACAACCCGCGCGGAACCCTTTGTGCATAGACCGAGTCAGGTCGTCAATATTATAACAAAAGAAAAGTTAGAATGCAGTGCTAGAGAGCGCTTTAATGTTTAGGACGCCGATTGGGATCACAGATAAAACTTCAGAAGGTCATGACACCAGATGAAGATTTTTACAACCGCACTCCAAGTGACAGGTAATCGCAGGCTGATGAGATGCAAGCATACGATTCCTTGCGAGGGTGAACTCCTCTCTAAAGAGCTCATGGGATAGGTGCTCAGTATTAGGCTACTATCATACAACTGACTATGAATAGAACGGATGATTTATCGGCTTAGCGAAGAATGCTGTTAGTCAAGTTCCTCATCAACTTTACCCCGCGCTTTTTATAAAACTGCTTCATTGATAGGATCCGCAGTACAGACTGTGAAGACGAAAAGCATGACATTAGAAATTGTACGCGTACACAAAATGATATTTGCTGGACGGCTTTGCAAGTGTCTGCAAAGTGATCCTATGCAATCTGCAGCCATTTTCCTCCTATACAAAAAGAATCCAAGAGCCAAAGTCAGCTGTGCTAGCAATGCATTATCGCTTTATAGGCTTGCTTGCGATATGCTATTATAAGTTCAAGCGTACTGGTATGAATACAACTTGTAGACGTCTGTTTTATTTGGAAAAAAAACTTGCAAAGAAAGTCTACACTACTTTATAGGCTTGGAAATGGAATGGAGCTTTATATTCCAAAGCATTATTTTGACTACAATCAACAAAACAACATGTATTTTTGAAGGACGACGTATATGTAAGCAAGCATAATAATTGTTCAGTATATTATTGAAACTGTGAATCTATAGAAATCAATTTAGGCTAGAAATTAGGAAAGTGCAGTCACTTCATTACTAGACTGTTGGCTGTCCTTGCATTAGCGACTGGCTGTACTGTATCAAACTAATAAATCATCACTTTAGAAATTAAAATGACTTTCTAACAAATGCATGACACCAGAGACGCATTTCGCCCTTCAACCTAGGCTAAATGGCTTACTGTAGCTATAATATAAAAGCTAAGAAGAGAATGGTCAACAATCGAATTGGCCAATCCAAGCAAGCTGCCTACCATTCAATGCAGCATTCAACGCTGTTCGAATCTGCATTTGATATTTGCTTAGCGCCTTGGTGGATAAAGTTATGAGCAGTAATACTGGGAAAAAAATGTACAAATTGCGGAATTGAGCATATTATTGCGCTTTCAGCTCACCTTTAGGTTGAACTATTTGAAGTAACCTAGCTATGCATGACTTCGATCACATACAAAAGCGCTAAGCAGATATGGAATACAGATTTA